AGCGCTGCTCCCGATGATCGAGCCCGACCGCGGGCAAAGGCCTACGCCCTCCGCGTTGGTGTGCACGCGCGCCTCACGGGGGCCGCGGCCGCAGCGTGCCCGCCTCGGTGCCAAGGCGCATCTCTCTCTGGCTGTCGGACATCCGACCGAGCGACCACGCCGCCGAAATCTGGTGCCGATCGCAACAGCATCTGCTGGGAGGCAACCGTGCAGCTCTGCCATAGAGCTTGCCCGAGCAAACCAGATCGGGGTGCGCCCGGTAGGGCAGGCGCTGGTCGTCCCACCTCCCCACGTATCCCTCTTCACGCCAGACTCGGAGACGAGTTGATTAGGTTGAGTTGGTGCTGTTGCTTGGTATTGGGGTATGGTATGCCGCTACCTTTGGCTCAAGCCAGGAGTGGCTTCAGGCAATTTCTGACCAATGATTGCTTCACCTCCAACTAATTTTCTCGGCCTCTGATCGCGTCGAGGGCAGAGGCATCCTGTCGCCATCAACTACAACAAATTACAACGAATCGGGCAAGCGCCGAGATCGAGTTTTGAGCCACCGCGATTCGGCAGTACCACCGGCGCTCCCTTGGCCGTCGGGCCATGACTCGGGCTTCCAGCGGCCGTTCGAGCCGACCCTGGCACCCCTGGCATGGTCTTTGACGAGGCGCAGCTGATGGGAACCAGCATGGACTTGGAAAACTTTTGAAACACCGGCAAAGACCTTTCGAAAACCTGCAGCATCGCGAAACATCATGACTGGCGCCCGAGAGCCCATCCTTCTGCGGCATCTTTTGAGTCAGATCGATGTGTGATGGTCCCAGGGCCCGAAGACGGGAGAACACGGCCAGAGGGATACATTGCAACGCCCGAATCTCAGGGTCGTGCCACTAGAGCAACAAACAACTGAGGAAAAGAAATTACTCGCAGGTCCGTGCGGATTTCTTGGAACGGCGCTGGACCCCTTCCAAGCGCGTGGAGCCCGCCAGGGGGGCCCAGCCCAAACCCAAGAAATCCGTGCGGAGCTTCGAGAACTTATGTATATGCAGTTTCGCAAGCAATGCTTACACCTAGGGGTTCCTTCTTTTTTTCCCAACCAACCTGTGGTGTTGGGTCCTCGTTTTGAAGAGACGGTCCCCGCGTTCTCCTCCTCTCGTGCCCCCCCCCTCCTCCCTACCGTCCGCATGCGTCCCGCACACCCAGTACAGCGCTTCGTGGCCCCATAGGGAGCCCCACCGAAGGTCCCAGTGCTACCGTCCGCATGCGTCCCGCACACCCAGTATAGCGTTTCGTGGCCCCATAGGGAGCCCCACCAAAGGTCCCAGTGCTACCGTCCGCATGCGTCCCGCACACCCAGTACAGCGCTTCGTGGCCCCATAGGGAGCTCCACCGAAGGTCCCAGTGCTACCGTCCGCATGCGTCCCGCACACCCAGTACAGCGTTTCGTGGCCCTCCTCCCCCTTCTCCCTGCGTTTCACCCACCCAGTACAGCGCTTCGTGGCAGGATAGGGAGCCCCACCGAAGGTCCCAGTGCTACCGTCCGCATGCGTCCCGCACACCCACTACAGCGCTTCGTGGCCCCATAGGGGGCCCCACCGAAGGTCCCAGCGCTACCGTCCGCATGCGTCCCGCAAACCCACCCCCTCCTCCCTGCGTTTCACCCACCCACCACAACGTTTCGTGGCCCCATAGGGAGCTCCACCGAAGGCCCCAGTGCCCCCGTCCGCATGCGTCCCAGAAGCCCAATTTGGCATTTTCACACACCCAGTGCAGCGTTTCGTGGCCCCATAAGGGGCTCCACCCACGGCCCCAATGCCACCGTCGGTATGCGTCCGGGAAATGTAATTTGGCATTTTCACCCGCGCAGTGCAGCGTTTCGTGGCCCCATAGGGGGCTCCACCGAAGCCCCCAGTGGGACCGTCCGCATGCGTCCCCGTAACCCAATTTGGCATGTTCACTCACTCAGTAGAACGCTTCGTGGCCCCATAGGGAGCTCCACCGAAGCCCTCAGTGGGACCGTCCGCATGCGTCCCGGAAATCCGATTCGGCACCCCACCCACACAGTACAGCGTTCCCCCCCGCCCAGTGCAGCGCTTCGTGGCCCGATAGGGAGCTTCACCGAAGCAGATATTCACAATTACAGTGCCCACAACTGCATATGGTTGGGACCTTCGCCAGGAGAATTTTTTGAAGAACTGAACTCGTCGGCGTCCCGTCTGGCTTGTCGCCGCCCCGTCGCCACCCCGTCGCCGATCGCGTCGCGGGCTCGTGAACCGCCCTGGCTGGCTTGTGGTCGCTCCCCCGTCGTCGCTCGTCGCCGCCAGTTGCCGCCTCGTCGCCGCCTGTCGCCGCCGCATTGCATTGCAATTGCACTGCATTGCACTGCAATCGCATTGAATTTCACTGCATTCGCATTGCATTGAAATCGCAGTGCAATCACAGAGCATTGCAATCGCATTGCGTTGCATTGCAATCGCATTGCAATCGCAGTGCAATTGCATGGCATTGCAATCGCATTGCAATCGCATTGCGTTGCATTGCAATCACGTTGCATTGCTTTGCTTTTGGTTTGCACTGCTGTGCAGTGTTTTGTGTTACTGTGCATTGCGCCACATAGCTCACACCACATAGAAACATATTCCACTGCATAGCTTGCACAACTTAGATTTGACCAACATAGCTTGCCCCGCATGGATCGCACCACATACATTGCACTACATAGCTCACGCCCCATATATCGGACCACATCGATTGCGCCACGTAGCTTACACCACCTTTCTCACACCACCTAGATGAGCACGTTGGCTCCACATAGTGTGCACCAGGTAGCTTGCACCAACTAACTCACACAACATTGCTCTGCATAGATGGCACCACTTGGACTGCACAAAATAGCCTGACTACACCACATAGCTCGCACCACATGGATTGTACGATATAGCTCACACCACATAGATCGCACCACAATTGTTGTACAAAATGGATCGCGCGTTGTAGCTTGCACCACATAGCTTGCACCACGTAGCTTGCGTCACCTAGCTTGCACCACGTATACTGCATCACCCAGTCTGGTATGAGCCACTGTTTGAGGTCCACGCTGGCTAAAATTTGTCCTTCGAATCTCAAGGTCGTGTCGGAGGCCCCCAAACGGTTGGTGACCACGCCGCATGGTGATGTCAGTGGGGATTCGGGATCATCGCACGGTTTTGGGACTCGGGTCGCTCTCCGAGGACGTCTCGGGCCACCAGGGCCTCCGAAGTCCCAGACCGTGCTGTGACGGACCGCGGGGTGAGGTCTTCTGGGATTTCGAACCGCGCGGTCCGTCACCACACTGTATTGGGACCCCCGACCGTACCACAGATCCGTGATCGGCAACCGCACCAGGAGCAGGCAGGCAGCGCACTAGCCCGCCTACGGCGGCGCCGCCTCGGCAGGAGCCAGAGGCAGCAAGAGGAAAGCGGTTGAGCGGAGAGGGGGGAAGAATCCCGAAACCCACCCCCGCCTACGGGGAGAGGGGGAACGGGTCCTCCTCCACCTCTACCACGGTCGCGAGATCCGCAGGCTAATTTCCTGAAAGGGGGGTCCCGCCGTGGCTTCCGCGAAGCGGGCTCAACGAGCCGACTAGCTTGAGGAGACCGCAAACCAGCTCCATAACAGGTCGAGGAACTGTGCAACGCCACGCCCGCAAATCGCTGCTGTGGCAGCGCAGCTTCCCTTAAGCGCGGTGGCGGATACGCGCGGCAGCGCGACTAAAGAAAGTACGGAGCTCAGACATCCGGCGGCTCGATTTTGTAAAGAAGCGGGACCCCGATCTCTCGATCACTTACCCGGAGCCAATAATTCATACCGAGTCGTATGTTGACGCCCCCGAGGCCCAGTGAGGGCCCCGAGAGGCCGAAACCGATGAAAAACCTCGGCCTAGATTTTCTCAGACGCCGGCTGCCCAGGAGGGCAGAACACAATCGCAGATCCGCGATCGGCAGTCGCACCGGGAGCCGGAGGCGCCCTCTCGGCTACACGCAAGAGTGACCTCAGGCAAGAGTGACCTTTGGTGCGCGGCTTTAGGAGGCCGCGGGGAGGCCAAACGCAAGGGCGCACACCAATGCTGGGGGGACCTCTGCGGACCCGCACCAAGAGTTACTCCAGCGAAGGGCCACTATCACGTGCGCAGTCCGAACTGATGGTAAGGATGCGCGGTACGTATGCAAGCCCCGTGGACACCCATGCCCAAGCACTTCGCGCGGGGCTGGCCGCCATCGACAGTGGTCAAGGGGGGGCCGAAGAGGCAAGGATGCAAGGGTACCCTTGGTTCGGTGGCAACTCATGGGAGCCTCCCATACCATCTTGCCGGCTTCTACGAATGAACGCTAGTCGACGCTAAATCGACGCTCATCGACGCTATCTCATCATTCGACTCCCAGACGCTAATCGACGCTAGTCGGCGCTAAAGACGGAATTAAGAGGGTACATCAGGCTCCCAAGATTTGCTACCGAAATACCCTTTGAGAAGGTTACCCGTCCTGATCACCGGCTTCGACTGTAGCCGACGCTCGCCCGCCTGCGGCGGCGCCGCCTCCAGGCCGGCGGCGGCGCGCAGCAGCACCCCGCCGGCGGCGGCCGTGAGCGCGCTCGCCGCGGGCGCCGCGGTGGGCGGGGCCACCCCGTGCCGCAGGCACAGCGCCTTTGCGCCCGAGGGGAGCAGCATCGGCGACTCGGAGAGGTGTGGTTTGCAAAGGGTGTGGTTTGCAGAGGGTGCGATGCGATGCGGTGCGGTGCGATGGTGCCAGAGGACAGTGTCCGGGCCTAGCTCAGACCAGGTGGATGAGGCCGTGGCCTCGAGAGTCTGACTTGCAAAGGGGTGTCGAATGCAAGGGAGTGTTTTGCAAAGTGAGGACCTCAACAGAGATCTCTGCCGCGCCCCGACGAGGGCTGACCAAACCTTTGGCGCAACGAGACCCCCTAAGCCCAAACGGCGCCGATCGCAAACCACACCCCATCGTAACATGTTCTTGCTTGCATTTCAGCTGCGCGTTCTTGGGGGAGGGCGCAGGAACACGAAGTAGACAGTGAGCAAGGATCCCCCTTCACCGTGTACTACATCCTCGGCTCCAGACCTGTCTATACATCTTTCCTACATCAGCCTGCGTATCCAGCTCGCACGTGCACAGCTTCGCTGAATCTGGCACTTGAGAAGCTGGACCAGGCGAAAACCAGGAACACATTCAGAAACGAACATCTCGCATGCGGTGTATTTTTAACAATCCGCTGCGGCAGAACCGCGGGTTAAATTGGAGGCAAGGGAATCAACTTGAAACCGGGACGCACAGGCCTCAGTGACGGCCCGCGTAGGATCGCTGGCCAAGCTCGTGCGGGAACGCTGTTTGCGCTCGTCGCTCGCCGAATGCCCGACACCACAACGACAGAGCGTGAGAGTGAAACAGGGGCGTCTCCTGAGAACTGCGCGCGGCCAGCCCGAGGGATCTGCGCGCAGGAAAAGCGCAGCTGACATGGGCCAGAGCACCATGAAAAGCTGGACAGCGAGACAGACAAGTGCAGGATATCAAAGCAGGATGGCGCTGCAAGCCGGTGGCCACTCACGAGCCCGTGGCGGTCGAAAAGCGCATCCCCGAACGCTCGGCGGCTTCCTTACTCCTGTTCCTGCGGGCGGGCGGGGGGGCGGCCGCGGAGGCCGCCTCCGACCTCGCGGCGGACTCCTTGATTGCACTGTCGAGGAACGACTCGCTGAGCTGCCGATGGAGCATTTGCGCGATGAGGTCAAAGGGCCCGGCGTACTTGCTGGCGAGCGGCTTCAGGGCCCACAGCTCGCTCATCAGGACCTCCATCTCGTTCCGGCCTGCGAGCCCCTGCTCGTGTCTCGAGGGCACCCTCGGGGCCAGCCGTCGCCGCCTCCTCGCGTGCGCCTCCAGCAGCTCCGGCATCTTCTTATGCACCCGCAGGAACAAACTCGCAAGGCTCTCAGACTTTGTGTCCTTGAAGGTGGGGTCAATGATCTTCCCGCAGCGGCAGAGTACCATGAAATCCTGTAGGGTCACCACACGGTACACCAGCTGCCGATTCAGCTCCTGCCGCTTCTGCTCCTGCTCTGCCCCTTCGCCGCCGCCTTTGAGGATGGACCACATCCTGTCCATTTCCTGCGAGGCCGACGGGCACTGGACCTCGTCCTTGTTGTGTTCTCCCATGCCGCGCAAAATCATCATCATCTGGACTATGATCGACTCTGGCAGCTCGAGGCGACCGGACCTCTCCCACGCGAGCTGTGCGACGATGACCTCTTCGTCGAGGCGCATCAGCCCGGGTAGGATATCGAGCAGCCTCCTGAACGTCTTGTAGGTCATCCTCGTCTCGACGCGGTCTTGAGGGAACTCGTCCCCCACGTTCTCCTCCAGCGGCAGCGGATCCTCGTCGAAGCCCTCCAGCGCCATGCGCGCCTCGAGCAGGGAGAGGTTGGCGTTGCGCACGAGCAGGTCACACAGGTGCCGCATCCTCCCTCTGGTCATGTCGACGGTGTAGCCGAGCGCGCCCTTGCGGAAGGGGACGACCTTTGCGAGGGCGCGGCCGACGTCTATCACGCTCACGGTGTCGAAGAGCTCGACGAACGTGCTCATTTCTACGTCCTTGTGGAGATGGCCGTCAGCGCCCTTGATCATGTCCCACAGCTCCTCCACGGTCGTTAGAGGCTGCTTGTCCCTGTGTTCCTTCAGGGTATCCAAGGCCGTCATCACGTCGCCGTGGTTTCCACTGCTGCGTTTGCCCACCGCTGTTATGTCGACGTGGTTCCCGCTGTTCACCGTGTGGCGCCGAAGAGGTGATCTCGCTGGAGCCTGACCCGGCTCGGACGCGCCGCCCGTGCCCGCGGGAGATCTGGCCCTGGCGACGGCGTCGTCGGGACCGGCGGCGACCGTCCTGCGGCGGGACCTCGCCCTCTGGGCGCTCGCATCGGCGCCCGAGAGAGGGGCGCCGCGGCTCCTCCCGGCGGCCGGCGCCTCCGCAGCGCCCGCCTCCGCAGCGGCGGCGCCGCCCGCGGCAGCCGCCGCCGGGGGCTCCAGGCTGCGAGCGCGGCGCCCGCTGCGCGCCGGAGCCGAGGGCACCGCCGAGGAGCTCCTGCCGCAGCTGCCGCGCTGCGAGCTCTGGCGGGCGGTCTGCGGGCCGCCGGCTGCGGGCGCTGCGGCGGGCACCTGGAGCGACCGCACCTTCTGCTGCGCCAGCGCCTCGGCAGGCGGCGGCCTGGGGGCCTTCGATCGCCCCGCGGGCGCCGCCTCGACGCCCCCTGCCACCCAGCTGCGGAGCAAGGGCAAGAACTGCCTGCGGCCCAGCAGCCCGTGGAGGCCGCACATGAACCTGTGCCACTCCTCCCCGTCGACGAGTCCGTCGCCGTCGACGTCGCTGGGCCCGCCCGATTCCTCGATGATGCGGAGGACCTCCATGCTCGTCGTGGGCCGCATCATGACCTCGCGCGCCAGCTCCATCTCCCTGCAGCTCAGGCGCCCGCTGCCGTCGATGTCCAGTTGCTGGAAGACCTGCATGCTAAGATCCTTTGCCTCGTCGTCGTCCCCGTAGCTCTGCGGCTTCCTCCGCGGCGCGGAGGACGCCGCGCCCTGGTCAGGGTCGGGCTCCCTCAGCGCCTCCGCCTCCAGCACGCCGCCGGGCCCAGGCCACCCGTCCGGCTCCTCCTGGCTGCGACTGCTGCTCGACGTGCCGGCCCGGCAGTGGCCTTCCTTGCCTCCGTCGGCCGGCGGTTGTGCCCCCGCGCGGCCGCGGCCGTCTGCCTGCGCGACGGGGTCCGCCCCTGCCGCCCCTCCCGCGCTCTGGCGGGAGTCCTTGCGGAGCCTGTGCCGCGGAAGCTCGCGCCCCTTCGGCGCGGCTGGCGGCGTGGGCACGATGGGGCTGGCGGCTCCGGTTGGCATGCCTTTCCGCGCGCCTCCGCGAAGGCGGCACCCCTCCCGCCCCTCCCGCGGGCCGCCCTTGAGCCAGACCCCAGCTGCATTGTCGCCGACACCATTGTCGCTACATTGTCGCCGACACCACGCTGGCCATGACCGAGATGTCGCGTGATCTCTCGTCACGATGTGATCCCTTTTCCGACAGCGTTCTTACCTCGACCTCGGCGGTGTCGGGCCTGGCCAGGCCATCGAACATGTATCCGTTGGGCGTCGCATAATGGGGGGGCAATAAATGGGGGGGGCAGCGAGTGATGCAGAAAAGTGGCTCTTTAGGACCCCCAGAGGGGCTCTTTGGGGCCCAAGAAGGGGGCACTTAGGGCGCGAAGCGTGCACCTTTCTTCCCCACCCAATTTATCGCCCCCACCCTAATACTTGCCATCGCTCGGACGTCCATTCCCCGTGCGTTTTTCGATTTCGTGCGTTTATTTGTTCACCAGATGATCCCAGATGCTCCTCGCCGAGAACAAGTGCACACCTCCGAGCGATGCCACGCATGAAGCGACGCCCAGATCCGGAGCGCGGATCTACCCCCGGGGGAAACGGTCGGGGCTTCTGGCGCGGGGCTTCTGGCGCCGCGCGTGGACGAGAACGCCGCGTCGGCGGATGGCAAGGACGGCGGCCCTCCCTGGTGTTCTGAATTCCGTCCGTCCTCGGGGGCACGGCGCCTGCGCTCGAGGGAAGGAGCACTCACGAGCGGCGCACATATCCGTATCCGCGCCCTCGCGATCTGCATTCTGGGGCGCGATCCCGCGGATACGCGGTCGCACGGGTACGTTCCGCGCGGGGCATTCGCGAACAACAAGACCCGTATGCGCGGGGTCTCGGCGCAGGGACCGGGTTCGCGAGGCCGCGGATACGGATATGTTTTTTACCCATCATGCACGACGACCAGGACCGAGATGTCGCGGGAGCTTGTTGACGCCGATCTTGGTCACCGCCACCCCTCCCTCGCTGTCGTCTTTTTGGGCCTCCTGAAAGACCCTCGTCGCCACGGCTGGCTGCGCCTCGAACAGCTGGTCAGAGCGCACCCTGGGAGAGGTCCAGGGAGCAGCGGCATCGGTACCTCCCAAGTCTCTGGAGGCACTCGATGAGGCACCACATGACCAGGATGTCGCGGGAGCTTGTTGCGGGATCCTTCTCGGGGCGCCTGAAGCTTCTCGTCGCCATGGTTGGATCCGCTTCGCAAAACGGGCCGAGAGGGACCCCCTGGCTCCTCGAGGGGTCAGGATAAACCGATCTCGTGAGTGGATTTTGGGGCCCAGCGGGAGGGCCGCCGCTGTCTCGACTGGCCCTCCTCCGATCCCGCGGCCCTCGACCACGAAGACGCGCGCACCTCCCGCGCGGCAGGGTGCCGTACCGGAGGGTGCGGAAGGCGGAGGTCGAGCGTCGAGGGAACGGCGCACGCTGACCATGACCGGGATGCCGCGGGATCTTGTCGACACTGATCTTGGTCATGGGTCCGTGCCATGCCAGCCGTCGCCGACTCGCGAGGATGATCCACGAATCGACGATGACCCAAGGTGACGATGACGAAGATCCACACCGACGTTCCCTTCGTTCAGTCTGGGTCACGGTCCCGTGCCGCAGGCACAGCGCCTTCGGCACATCCCTCCCCCCGCACATCAGGGCCTCCTGGACTCAGAGGAGGAAAGGCACCGATACTGCTGCCCTTCCCGCGTTTTGGGCTCTTTGGGGCCTCCTGGGAGGCCCTCGTCGTCAATGATCGATTATCCTGGAAGTTCTGATTCGAACGTACCCTAGGAGAGGTCCAGGGAGTAACGATTTCGGCACCTTGCCCCCTCATAGACACGCACGCCCAAACCCTGTCGGGTGCGCTGAAAAGAGGGGCCACAAAGAGGGGGGGGGTAGTCAGCGCATCGTGGACTCCGAGGCCTGTGGGCGGACGCGTGTTGGGGACAGCGTGCGAAAGGAGAAGAAGAGGGGGCTACAGCCCGGCATCAGCCGGACATCCTCCCCGGACTGACTTCGATCTTACACCTCGGTCCGACCGTATGAGATCTGGGAGATCTCTTGGCCCCCGCCTGGACATCCGCACCACCCTGGCTGTCACACCCCTATTCGACGCCCCCGCTGGGCGAAGGGTCCTCCTTCCCCTCCCCCCTCTTCCTCCGGGCTTCCCGACCAGATGGCGCACGCCTGCTCCCCGTCCTGATCGCGAGGCGATCGAGGAGCTCATCGACCAGGGCGATGAAATCTGAATCGGGGGAAAGTCGCCCTCTGAGGGTGCGCACCAGGACGCTGGAAACATCCGCGGCTGGATTCACGAGTGGGACACCTGGAGGACACACACAGGATGCGCGGCGGGAGCCCTGCGTGCCCCGCCCCAAAAGAAGGGCCAGGCGCTGCAACGACATCTGGCCACACGGCTATCCAGCTTTTCCGCAGTCGGGCCCGTGCCCGTGCCAGCGCTGCTGTCTTCGAAAACCGCTCTTCCGCGGACGCGCTGTGCCGATCGCGGCCGTGCCGACAGGTCGGTGCGCGTGCCCGGCTCCGAAGGGCCGCGGAGGGCCCGATCCGCCGGCCCCCTTCGGGCCCACCGCCAGACCAGCGACGCGGTCGAGCCCTGGCCTGCGGACCGAGGGCTTCGCCATCCATCCGGCGCGCCGAACCCTCCCCCGCACTCTCCGGGGACCTCCCGCCCGAACCTTCCGCCCTTTTTCGATATGATCGATGTGGACTTCCTTGCATTACGTAAGACTTCCATGAACTTCGATGAATTCTTCCGCACCTTACGCGGAGATTGGACGGTATTAGAGGCCTCCTAGATGGGGCCGGAGTAGATGGGGTCGGAGGATCACGCCGCATCGCCGATGCATCGGCGATGCATCGGCGACATCGGCGGTGCATCGGCGACGCCAGCGTTCCCTCGTAAACTACACTGTGTCCGCCCCCCAGGGCCAGGATCCCTTGTAAATTACGCTGCGTCCGCGCTCCCAGGGCCACGATCTAAGGTAAATTACGCTGCGTCCGCGCTCCCAGGGCCACAGTCCACCGTACATTATACTCCGTCCGCGCTCCCAGGGCCACGATCCCTCGTGAATTACGCTGCGTCCGCTTTCCCTGGGCCGCAGTCCCTCGTAAACTACGCTGCGTCCACGCTCCTAGGGCTGCGCTTCCTAGTGAATTACGCTCCGTCCACGCTCCCAGGGCCACGGTCCTCAGTAAATTACACTGTGTTCGGGCTCCCAGAACCATCTGGGCATCCTGGGGCGCCTAGGCCGCTCGAGTTCTGCAAAACAAGCGTTTCGCTCGAGACATCCTCGAAGCGTCTCGCTCGAGGCATCTTCAAGACCTGGACACGTGAAAACAAGCATTGCACCTGAGACATCCTCTGAATTCTGGTCCCCAGGAGAGGAACGAACTATAACACAAAACAAGCGTTTCGCTCGAGACATCCTCAACAAATTATGCAACACAAGCGTTTCGTTCGAGACATTTGCAACAAACAAAAATTCTTATTTTACCCAGTGTTTTGCCCGTCGGAACGTCAATAACCAGCGTGTCGCTCGCCGGTCTTCTTCGACCTCGCTATCTATCACCAAATAATTTCGCCAGCCCTCTTCAAACCGATTCCGGGCGGGAATAAACCTACTGAGCGAGAATCCTGGGCAGGTGCCCTTCCCGGAAAAATCCACGCGTCCGAACGATGCCAAGGGGACACGAGCGGATCCGCGAGCCTCCACGACGTCACGACCCACATGCGCCGCAGCCTCCCACAAGCGCTCACGGAGTATCGGAGCACCTGCGCGCCTCCTCAAGTGCAGCCAGGCCGCCTCCTCACATCCAGGAGGGAAGTGGGAAGGCGGAGGAGGAGAAGGAGCAGGGGGATGAGGGGAACCAGGGGGAGGAGGGGGAGGAGGAGGAGGAGGAGGAGGCAGATCGTCGAGAGGGAAGGTTCGTCTCGTCATCACCGCCGACCGCCCCTCGGCAGATCGGCCGCTTGCCTCGCTGCGCGAGCAATGGCAAGCGCTTCCCTGTTGGGGAAAACCGTCGTTATAGATTTGGCGTGCGCCAGCTTGCGAT